ACGTTTCTGTGGAGGACGCTCCACAGAAACGGGTCCAACCATCATGCGTTTCTTTTCTCTGGAGCAAAGAAGCGCATGATGTGGGCCGCCACAGTTGCGACACTTCTGCTGACATTGACCATGGGCTGGAGCAAGGCAGTTGATGCACTTATTCAGGTCTCGTAGTCGGAAAGACCTAGCAATAGAATCGCTGAATACAGTGCAACTGGACGATCGATGGCCGTCTTCATTGCTGGTTTCACAGAAAATACAGGAGAGGCGAGGTGCTGTTTGGGTGAGAAGCGTGTCGATCTTGCTCTCTAGTGAAAGCAGTATGTCTTTCAGCTCTTGAATAGTAGACATGAGTAGACTCAAGGTCAAGCGGGTAGAGACCTCGAAAGTGTCAGGATGTAGCGCTGACTCGAGACCCGCTGCAGGTGCGTCTTCTTTGGCAGACGAGCTAGACGGCGGCAGCTGCTTCGGCATGCTTGGACGATGGAGGGCTGCGAACTGTTGGAAAAGGAAGGAAATCGACCGTGACACCCGTTTTTCTTCTTGATGTAGTGGAGGACAGAAGGTCTGGACTACTGTCTCGTTGAGTCATTGGCTGTTCTTTGGAGGCAAGCTCTGAGGGCGCCGTCCAGACAAGCGAGCAGTGTGCGTACAAGCAGCTCGACGATTGCAGTGATTACTTTGATGAAGGCTAAGATAACGGAAGGACCAAAGGCGTAGATCAGAAGGGCAAGTATTGCGAAAGCTGCTATCACACTTAGTGCAATTTTCCAATGCAGTGCGAAAGTCATCATGAGCGGGGTGATATCTGGGATTGAGAAATGCTCCCAAAAGCTGCCATTCACCTTTTTACTCGATCCGTCGAAAATTTCGTCGTCGGTTACAGTGCTATGATACAGTAAAGTTCCCGCTAGGAGAATATCGTGTGTTTGCGCTCCACACTGATATCGGCAGCGATCTTGTACTTGCGCGCGGTTGTATTCGAGCTTGAGATGGTTTGCTTCGCTTGTTGTTGAGCACTTAAGGAGAAACGTTTGATATGAGCAGTCTAATGCCAATTCACGAGGCTTGTTCGAGTAGCAGTGGATTGTTGTTTTGGCCGCCTCCGCGCAGTTGTAGCAGCCTGTGACGGCCGTTGCATGTACGGTACAGGGAGGATCTATGGCTATCAAGG